TCGAGCCCCTCCCTGCTGTCCCCAGCTGGCCTCTGGGGGCCCAGGTGAAGCTGTGGATGAGGCCGAGACGTCTGCCTCGAGGAGCTTCAGGGAGTGAAAGTGGCTGCCTGGGACCCTGGGCGCCTGGTGTTTACCCAGAAATTGTGCTAATCCCGCTAATTCCCGTGATTTACGCAGCCTCTCGGCTCTGTCTACTGCCTTTCCCTCCTGGAAGGGGAGGGAAGGGGGGACAGTGGTAGATCTGCACAAGACAGGCCTGTGGCTCCGTGGGCACTGCAGGGGCTCCCCCGGCTGGGTCAGCTCCCCACAGGCATTCATGGAACCCAGGTGCTTCCGTGTACACACCTGTTCCTGGGCCACAGACAGCAGTCTGATTAGTGAGCATCTAAACAAATACCCTCCCTCCCCACGCTCTGTGCACCCTGGTCCTGTGGTGGCCATGTCCGGAGGCTTCCGGGTGGCATTTTGGCCAGAGGATCTGGCTGTAGTCCTGGCCCTTCTCCCTCCGTGGAAAGTGGCCTTGGGCAGCTCCCTTCCCCTCCGTAAGGATCGGGATGACGACACCCACGCTGAGTGTGTAACAGGGCGGAGATGTTGGCTCGAGGGAGCTGCAGCTGTTGTTCCCTGAGGAAACCACAGCTTTTTCCTCCCTCCTCTCCAGTCTCCTCGTGTCCCTCAACAGAGTTGTCGCAGTTCCTTCTGGAGCCTCTTTCCTTCCTTAGCATCCCTGGCACTAAGGTCCAATTGTTCTGAGTTGTTGGCCTCAGTTTCCCCATCTGCATTTGGAAAGGGTCGGATGGACGCCTCCCAGGAGCCTGTCCCCCCTGCCCGGGGCTGGGGCTGGGGTTTGGTCACATGTGCTGACCTTGTGGGCGCCTTGAGTCTTCCGCTGGTTTCTGGTCCATGGAGCCCTGGGCGCTCCAGACGCAGGCCTGGGTCCCTGTGCCCACCTTATCTCATCTGCAGGGGGTCTGAGCACCTGCTCGGCTGGGCCTCGGCTGGGGACCTGTGGGTGCAAGGCTTGGCCTACCCTGGAGGAGGTCATGGTCCAGCAGGAGGCCAGGTGGGTGCTTGGCAGACTATGACCAGGCTGTGTGAGCGGTGCCGTGCTGGTGAGAGTGTGCAAACCCAACGGAGGGACACCTCCTTCATTTGGGGGTGTGCGGAGCCTGGCCAGCTCCCAGCCTAGCTCAGTGTGAGGCTTGGAGCTGACTGTCAGTAAGGAATTACCGAATGAAGAGTGAGTGAGTGAACGTGCAGCTGCCCTGCCCCAGTCCGCCCCAGAAGACAGGTGCCGCCGCACAGCCAGGGTGTTGGCAAGCAGCCCCGGACAGAGCCTCAGCTTTTGGCTAGCCCTTGGCTGGTGGTCCCCGTCCACCAATCTCGCCCCCTTGGATACGGCACTAGGGCAGGGGGGCTATGCCAAATCCTGCTTCTGGGGCCCCCCCGGGCTCCTGACACAGTGCTCCCCATATCTGAAGGGCTCAATAGTTAGTTACCTTAATGTCTGCCAGGGAATTCAGGGGCAAATCCCATAGCACTGTGGGGTCCTCAGATGAAGGACAGCTCACTGTGGTGCTCGAGAGTATGGTTTTGGGGCCAGACAGCCTGGGTTCAAGGCCTGGCACAGACACTACTAGGGTGTGTGTCTTTGGGCAAGTTACTCAACCTCTCTGAGCGTTGGTTTCTTCCTATGTAAAATGTTGTGAGGATTAGATGAGATCACTCTTGTCAAGTGCTTGGCACCTGGTAAATGCTTATTAAAGGTTTGTTGTTCCAGCTGTTATTCTGATTTTTGTCCTTACTTCCAAATTCAGGGTGTGTGTTTCAGAGTTGGGCCTAAATTCCTTCACCTGAGCTTCTCAGGAGGAAAACCCAGGCTGGTTACAAAGTCACTCGCATTTCAAAGAGCTGTGATTTCCTGCCTCAAAGGTCCACTTTCTCTGTCCAGCATCTCTGAGCAGTTGCTCTGTGCCAGCCTGAGAGGGAAACAGCTCCTGACCTGGAGGTGATGAATACAATACAGGGATGTTGGGTTGCTGCAGGGGCCGGAAGCACAAGTGACTATGATGGGGAGGAGTTGGGGGGCTTCCCGGAGGAAGTGACGTCTGAGTGGCGTCTTGAAGGAAGAGTAGGAGTCCATGATGCACAGAAAGGGTGAAAGGTTTCTGGTGGGTGGCACAGCTTGAGCAGAGGCCTGGCAGCATGCAAGGGGAGGGCCAGTCACGCCTGGCTGGGTGTGAAGGGGAGGCGAGGAGTAGGGGCTGCAAGTAGACACAGGAAGACTTTACCTGAAGGCCAGGGGGACTCAGCAAGGCCTTGGTCAGGGGAGGGAGGTGGTGAGGTTTGGTTTTGGGGAAGGTGCCTGGCTGTCTGGTAGAGGACGACTTGGAGGGGGACCAGAGGTGGTGTGGAAGGTAGCCAGGACCCAGAAGGGGAGAAGCCAGCTGGGAGAGGCACCACTGGTGAGGTCCTTTCAGGGGGAAGTTATGGCAATCGCACCCGATCAGATGTCGGGGGGAGAATGGGGAGAGGATGGTGACCCAAAGGTGCAGCTCGCGAGAGCTGAGGAAGAGCAGGCATGGGCCAGGGTGTGTTGTTGGTGGGTCTTTCCGATAGCCAGAATCTTAAAGAACAGATTATACAAATAGGCTTAAAGGATCAGGCAGTGATCCCTAAATCTCGAGGCCAAAGGAAACCCCATAACTCACCAGAATCCTTGGAGATTTCTCTCTCCCCCACCTGCCTCGGGTTTTCTGGACAGGGAGTTTCGAAAGATTGTGGGAACCGGACAGGCTGGTGTGCGCAGAGAAAACCAGGAGGTTCAGAACTCGGGCTGTTCGTTCGGCAGGCCAGCAAGACCATAGACCGGCTTTCACAGGTCACATTCGTCATTCTCGTATACTCCCATTTTCTAGTTAGAAAGACACGAGACTGCTGTGCGGATCTAACAAAATGAAATCTCGGGGCCTGTGGATGTAGATTTAGCCTGGAGGCCCCTGGGGATGGAGCTGGCCACTGCCTTTGGTTTCTGCTGTACGGCGATCCAGAGCTCTCTAGTGGAACATTCCCTGCCTCCTTTCTGAAACAGCAACCCCAGACCTCCTTGACTCTCTCCAGTCGTCCGCCCATTTTTGCTTCTTTTATAGAAAATCTTCCTGTGCAAATTGTCTGTGCCTGTGCTTCCACTCTCTTCCGCTCTCTTCCTGACCCCCGTCTGGGCCTGGTCCCCACTGAGACTGCCCGGCTGTCAGGCCTCCTGGTCTCAGTCTCTCAGTAGCTTGTGACGGAGCTGACTGTTCTTCCTCTTTAAGGCGCTTCTTTCTTGGCTTGGCTTCCAGGATCCCACGCTCTCCTGGTGTTTTTTTTTTTCCTTCTCCTTCCCCCGCTGAACATTTCTGCTTGCTCTCCTTGACTGATTTCTCCTCTTTTTCCTGACCTGTGTCTCAGTTCTGGAACTTTTCTTCTCCTTCACCCTTTCCCTTGGAGATCTTGTCCAGTGGCCACCATCTGTCTTCCCAGCTCTAGCCTCCACCTCTCCCTGAGCTCTGACTTGCATTTCCAACAGTTCTGTGTGTCTTGATGGGCATCCCAACATGGCCCCAACTGAGCTCCTGATTTCTGCCCCCAGGCCTGCTTCTCATTCTCTATGCTCCATCTCAGCAAATGGCACTAGCCTTCATTCATCCAGGTGCTCAGCCAAAAATATGAGCCATCTTTGACAACCCGTCCTTCTTTTAAAAAAAATTGGCTTTCAAATTTCTGTTCTGTAATATTTGACACAAATATTCCATTAGCAGTAAATGCTAATGAAGCAGATGAAGCAAATTAGTAAAACGCTCGCTCATGTCCCACCACCCAGCTGGAGACAGCGTTACCTGTGCCCGCATCCCCTGGGTCTCCTCCCTGAACCACGATGACTCCTCTTCCCATCACACCCCGCATCCCGGCCCTGGCACGGTGTGTCGGCTCTGCCCTCCGAGCATGTCAACATTCCACCACCGCCCCCTTAACCCAAACCACCATCAGATCTCCCTGGGTCCTTGCAGCCATGCCCCTTCCTCCCACGTCTGCCCACCACACAACAGCAGAGTGACCCCTTTACACTGTGAGTCACATCATGTCCCCCCTCTGCCCAAAGCCCCCACAGCCTGCAGCCACCTCCTTGCTGCTCCTCAAACAAGCCAGCCTCCTCCCACCATCTGTGCCTCCGCCTCTGTCCCCTGGCTGCCCTGGCTCCCTGGAGCTCCACGTGGCATCCCATCCCTACCCTAGGAGGCAAGGCAGCTGTCCCTCTGCCCTCCGCCCTGCTCTGCCCTGCCGCTCTGCTCTCTTTTCCCTCCACCTCTCACTAACTGAAACTAAATGTGCACCTATTTCCCACTTATTTATTATCTGTCTCCCAGGGAGACGGTAAACTCCATGGATTGTATCTTCAGCACTAGGCACATGCCTGATGCACAGTAGAGCTTAAAATCTTAATCTTAGAACTATGCTCACTGAGAGTGTTCAAGTGAATAAATGATGAAAAATCTGTTGCATGAATGAGTGAATGAACATATTCCTGAATAACTGAAGGACGGGTCCTGGTGAGTAGGGAAGGAACAGGAACACGAGGGCCCTTCTTTCAGGACCTCTGAGTAGTTGCTACAGTATTTCCTTTTATTTTCCTGGATTGTGAGTTGGAGAATCCTGTCATTCTGACTTCATTTCTCCATGTTGTTCTTGCTACTTACCGCTCACAGTGGTAGGGACTTGTTGCTTTGATGTTAAAAATCTGGGGTAAAAGACAACGAGAACGCTTGGCTGTTGTCCGTGAGGTTGTTCAGAAGACCAGATGAATCTCAGAACTAATAATTCTCAAAATTAATTAAACCTTCCTTCCCAATTATGAGAGAATTAAGTTGGTTGCTTTCAAAGCGAGCGGCGGCCGGAATCTGGGTCGCGCTCCGGCTGGGTCTGGGGGCAGTGTTGGTGAGTGTCTTTGTCTTCTCCTTTAGGGCTGCCCCCCAGGACCATGAGCCGCTAAGATGGAGACATCTGCCTCAGCCACTGCCTCGGAGAAGAAAGAAGCCAAAAGCGCGATCCTGGAGGCCGCCGCTTTCCCGGACCCGGGCGGGAAGGCCTCTGCTCTGGCGGTGGCCACGGCGGCGGCGGCAGCAGCGGTCGCTGCCCAAGGAGGTACTCACTGTTGTGCGCACTGGACGGGCAGTGGGGGTGTTTTTCATGAGCCTGTTAGGATTTAATGAGACTGGAGGCCGATGTCATCAGGAGGCGTGCTGGGTTTATGGAGGGTGGAGAGGACGGTGCCCCTGCTACTGGGGATCCCAGGCACCGTGATGGACGCCTGCAGGTTTCTCCAAGGTCTGGCCACCCCAAATCTGGGGGGCTGGGCCGTCGTCTCAGACTCTGGCAGGTGGGGGTGGGGGGCTGAGAACGGGGAGAAGGAGGGGAAGGGAGGGGCAGTGGCTGCTGGGCGGCCCTGGGGTGCGTTCAGTTGGCACATTCGAGATGGGCCAGAGATGCTGCTTCTTGCCTTTGGCCCGCCAAGGACTATTTTGGAAAGTAATTGTCTCCTGATCCCTTTTGGCTGTAATTAGAGGGTCAGGTATGGAATTTAGTATCCTTAGGTGAATTTCTGGCCAACTTAATTATAACAGAAGGACTGCACGAGCTGCAGCCTCTCATTTCACTGCCCCGAAGAGAAATACTCTGGTTTCCACTGGTCCGTGCCAGCATCCCATTGGGAAAGTTTGGCGGGACGGCGAGACCTCCCCTGTGCCTGCGCAGTCCATCTGGAGGCCACAGAACTATTTCTGTCTCTGAGGAATGGAGACGCTTAGATTTCTTGTCTTTCCCTTTTTATTCAAGTGCATTTAGTCATGCCCTGTTGCTCTCGCCACTCAAGCACAGCCCAGAGAGCAGTGGGGAGGTTTGCCCTCGCCGGGTGGCTGTGCCAGTGCAGGCAGCACCTCTCACCCTCTGGTGCGTATACACATCTCAGGGGGCTTGTTGGAGTGACGATCTGCTTCAGCAAGTCGGGGCGGCGCTGAGTTTCTCCATTTCTAACCAGCGCTCAAGTGATGGGGCCAAGCCCAGGGAAGCGAAGACACTCGGAGAGTGTAGGTGTCCCTGTTTCTGATAGTGAGCATGAGGACCTCCAGCTCGTTGCTACTGTATTTATTTTCATTTCCCCCTGATTCCCAGCTGGAGGTCATTATCAGGATGTGTGGCCCAAGTCAGGAGAGGGAGATCCAAGGAACCTTCGTGCTCCCACAGGGAGGCGGGCCATTGGCCTCCTGACCTGGTGATGCCCCTCTATCCCTGTCCCCCTTGGAGACGGGGTCTCCAGGCCCTTCCTCTGTGAGGAGGAGTGGTGTGGGGTGGGGGTGGAGGAAGAACTCTTACCTGGCGTGGGAGGAGCCAAGTCCAGGGTGGACTCCCCATGCAGGGTGGTGTCAGGGAGCCAGGAGATCAGGAGAGGGAGGAGTCCAGGGGAGGGCAGGCCCAGGTGGGAGACTGGTGGTAGCTCAGAGGCCCGGCTGCCTGGTCCCAGGGCCGGCCATCCTGGGCCTGGCTGTGTCCAAATATGCATGGTCTGTTCCTTCCCCTGGGGCAGGGGCCACCCTGGCCTGTGGTGATGCCTCAGGCTGTCCCTCTGCTTGATGCACAGACGCTTGGGCCTCAGCTGCCTCCTGTTCTCCTCCAGAAGCCTGTGCAGGGTTTGGGTCTCCCTGCACAGACGCTTGGGCCTCTGAGGCCCCACAGAGCTCCTTGATGTATTTCTGGCCTGGCCCTGGGCCCTCAACTGTCCCCGCCTCAGCCTGGGTCGGCCTCTGAGCCATGAGTGGGTCATGGGCTGCCACACGGCACGATTTGCTGCGTGTCACGGTAGCAGAGAACAGACTCAGGCAGTAATTAGACAGTAATTAGGACGTAACTGGGGGGAAGCCCCTCTCATGTCAGACCTGGTTGTACAATAACAACAGATGCTTGAGGGGTTCTGGATCTGGGGGTATGGGCAGCAGACCTATAACTTGGAGTACAGCGGCTCCACGGAGGCACCCACCCATCTCCACCCCACCCCCACCCCAGGATGCCTTCCCTGCCCACCCCCACAGGCCCTCTGTCCCCTCACTGCCTGACCCCAGGGGAGTTTGGCTGATGAGGTTCCAGCAGAGGGTAGGTTTGCCTGTCAGCCCAGTTGCCCCAGGGCAGGTGGCCTGCCGTCATCGGAGCAGGCTGGAGTCAGGTACTGCTGGGGCTGGAGAGCCTCCTCAAGCTCCTGCTCCCTTGTACCCCTCTGAGAGGCCTACTGGGGAAGGGCCCTCCTGAGTCAGAGAAGAGCAGCTATTCCTGCATGGGGCAAAGCAGAGGGCATCTTGGAGCGGGTCCCCCGGTGCTGGTGGGCTGTGCATTCTGAGGATGGCATGAGGGAGGCCTTGTGCAAGCCCAGAGGGCACTGGCCTGGATCCTAGTTCCCCCAGGCCACCCCCAGGTCTTGGTGTGGCAAACCATTCTCTTCCCTGGGCCCCATGTTCCTAATCTGTGTCCTGAGGGCATTTGACAGATGGCACCCAAAGTCTTTATGGTCTTGTGACATCAGATCTTCCTTACATCTTATTGACAGTGGCAGAGGTGCTCTTAGCAAGAATCCTCATTGACTTAGCAAACTCAAGTCCTAGAAGGCTCCAAAGAGCCTCTGATTTGGGCCTTCCTGCACGCAGGGGCGTAGACTTGCCAACAGGTGAGGTGAATGCACGGAAGGAGGTGCAGCAGAAGGTGGTTTGCACAGGTCCCGAACACTGAGGCCCCCGGGGTGGGGATGCTCTTGCATTCAGCTCTGGGTCTCGGTGCTTAGTGCTGGGCCGGGCCTGAGATGGCGCCTGAGTGTCTCCTGTGGACCTGAGCGGTGTGAGGAGAAAGCGTGGGATTGCGAGGAGCTGGGCCGAGGAGGGGCGGTGTGGCGGAGCCAGCAGCATTAGCCTAGCCCTGAGGAGGTTGGGAGCTCAGCCTGCAGGCGTAGGGCTGGGTGTGGACAGGCGGTGAGGACGGGCAGTGGGGCCTGCCCAAAGGCCTGGGAGGAGGGCAGTGCTGCCCAGTGCCTCCTGGGCTAGAGCAAGGGTGCAGGGAGCTGAGCACCACTTGTTGAGGGGACCCTGTCCCTGAGTTGTTTCTGGAAAAGACGGAGTAACCATCCCCGTCTGGGAGGGCTTGTCTGAGGCCTGTTTGCTGCGGCAGGGGCGTGACTGAGCTGATCCCCCTGTTGCTGTGCAGGTGACCACTCAGATGCCTGGCTCCTCTGACGCCTGTTTATCTTTTCAAAGCCGGTGGTATTGTCCCCGTGGTCTGCACCATGTGATCCGCAGCTCTCCCAGACGGAATAGCTTACACAAGCTTAGTGTTTCCTGCCTTCTTAAACATCAGTCAAGGGGTGGGGTGAGTCCCGTCTGAGGATGTCAGGGGCACTGTGGTGCGTAATGGGCAGTCATGAGAGAAGGGCCAGATCCTACAAACTGGCAGGGCTGTGATCACCCGTGTCTGCGGGGTGTCCACATGTGGGGGCACCTGTACTCCAGGCCAGCTTCTGACCCCTTATCCAACCCTCCCCCACTGCCACCAGTGTCAGGTGCTTCAGTTCCACCGCTGGAATTGTATGACTTTGGTTGTAAGAGTGCGCATACCTTTAGGCAGAAAGACTTCATTTTCACATTGTTTATAGCTGTGAAAAATAGGAAACAGTGTAACTGTTCAACGATAGGAGATTGATTAATCAAACTGGAACATCTATTGAATGGAACATTATGTAGCCATTAAAAATGTTTATCAAGACTTTATAATAATGGGGAGGGATGTGTTTATGTTCTAGTAGTTATTAATAGAGAAAAAGCAGGATACAAATTATATCTCACAGGCACCACTTTATGATACATAGAGGTGCTGTTAGCAGTGGTCATCCCAATATTGGGACTCAAGGTGATGGACATGGCATACAGGAAACTCATCCCTGTGGTTCTTAAGGACCTTCAGCCTTCTAGAACCCTCTATTAGAATGTAAGTACCTTAAGAGGCAGGGTGTGCTGGAACCAGGCCGTGCCAACTTGTGAGAGCTGAGTGCTTCCTCTGCCATGAACTTAGGTTGGTTACTTGCAATTAGCCATGTCAAGAGTATTTATACCACGAAACTGGCACACTACAGATCAGGGCTGGCCCCTCCCCTACCCCGCTGCCAGAGCCTGCTGTTAAACATCTACTAGCACCCGACTGATGGTATCTTAAGCCTCACTCAGACTCCTTGACAGCCACCTGATCTCCCATTAGGAACCAGAAAGAGAGTGAGTCCAGAGCAAGGAGATGGGTTATAAGGGAGGCGGGCGTCCCCACTTGCAAAGCTTGGAAAACCCAGATGGGAGTGTCTGGGTGTTAGAGAGGAGCGGCAGGCACGTCTAATTCATGAGTGGTCAGAGCCTCTCCACTGTGTAGATGAGACTGAGATGAGGTGGGGATGGGACTTGCCCAAGGCAACCAGCTGCTTCAACAGAGAGCCGAGTCTGGGGCTCGGGGCTCCCACCTCCCATATGGTGAGAGTCTCTTTCAGGTATCTGCTTTTAGATTGTGAGTTTAGGCTGTTCGTGGGTGATTGGGGCCCTAAAGCCGAGCCCACTGATCCTATGGTAAGCGTCCAGTCTCTGCACCAGCCTCCGACAGGTCTCCTCATCCGTCCCCGTGCCTCAGCCCCTCGTCTGTCCAATGGGCCAACAGCGCCTGCTCCCTTCCAGATAGCCGGTTCTTTGAGGTCTGGGGCTGTGCCTTATTTGCAGAGGGATCTGAAAAGTCGGCTGGCTTGACTGGCCTCTGTTGCTTGACCTTCCTTAGGCGTCATGAGGTTCAACCTGCTGGGGGCTGGGTGTTTCACTCAGAGTCGCCACCTCCCTGAGCCAAAACGTACGACAGGAACACCTTGCTGAGCAGAGCAGGGCCGGACCACAGGAGAAAGCAGCCCTGTGGTCAGGTTGGGGGGCTAGTTGAATCACCTGGCGGGCGCAGCTCCAAGAGCGGCTGGCAGAGCTGCAGACGGCGGGTTCTTTCCCAGCCTCTTTAGCGATTGTGCTAACACTTTGGAGGCCATAGAGCTTTAAAAACACATTTTGGCCCAGAGCTGTTTTCCCTTTGATTTTTAA